TACATTAAACTTCACTTGCACTCATGATTATTTATAGCCCTTTCCGCTCAATGTGTAACTTTGAGTGTTGGCTAGGGTTTTGATCGATTTGTGAACGTATCACGCATTTATTGTTAAAATATGATAATTTTGCCAAATTATTAACATGGATCTTTTGTGTTTTTTACCTGATCGTCGTACTTCTATATCTACATCTGTAGTTTTCGAAAGCCGTTTTCATACAAAAAAAATCCTTCCAAAAACCTTGCAATTTCATGTTTCCAGATGGACAAACCATCATCATCTTCTTCATATCCAAGCAGTGATAGAATACGACTGAATGTCGGTGGGAAAATTTTTGAGACCACACTATCTACACTAACAAAAATCCCGGATACGGTAAGTTAAGTCGCCTATTATGGTTCCTAAAAAATTTTAAATTGGCTTTAGGTTTTATCAACAATGGTGGCTGAGCGTTGGAGGGGTGAAGGTGAATTGTTTATTGACCGAGACCCGACACATTTTTCAAAGGTATTTTAGCTTTTTAATTTTACGGTAATCGATAATGGACAACAGTTAGTTACGACAAATGAAAAGGTTTCGATTCTTTTTTCTTAAAAATAAGTTTGTTTCCCTTCGGAGGGGGAGGGATACGCGCTTTGAAAAAGTTTTAAGATTTGCTCCCGAAATTTTTTTCCGGGCCCATGACCCCCGTGGCGATAGCCAAGCCCCCGCAATTTTTTTTTGACAAGTAGTATGAAACTTCAAAAAATTTCAAAAATGATTTCAATATTTTACAAATAAAGCAAGTCACTCGCACATTTTCGAAACCCATGTAGATACCTTCAAAAATCTCTGTTCGCCACTAATTTCTGGACAATTGAATTACTCCAACAAAGCTTTTTTGAGGGGTAAATTAAATAAGGAGGCAAAAGAGTGTTTCTACTTTTATAGCATTTCTCAAATAAACTCTAGAAGACTAATGATACCACCAGAACTTTTTGTATAAGTGCTACCTCATGCTTGAGTAGACTTGAATGACAAATAGACGAACTTTTTCTATGTCTGGCTACTCGAAAGTACGCATTGCGTTAGCGCCTCCCTCATTAGCGATTAATGAGGCTCCTCTTAAATCGAATCAGTCGTACTTGCTCAATTTGGAACGAACTCATTAATTTGAGACTTCCGCTTACATCAAAGCTCTTGAAGTACGCATCAGCGTATCGCCATAAAAAAGGTTTGAGTCTGGCGACTTCTTGAATTTCTCGTCTTTTAGAGATAGCTGATTTTTAGGGGAAAAGTTGAATCAGTCACTTAAAAACAGAATAACAGAGTAATTATAAACCATCACAGAGAAATTCCTGCTTCAAACTAATACTCATCGAAGAGTAAAAATATGTCCTCATCAAGGAAGTACATATAAGAATGAGTTTCTGAGAAATGAAGTAAAATCGTATTTAGGAAAATTAGCAATAATGACTATCCTTCAAGCCTTTGGAGAATGAAATGAGTCGACAATTTGCTCAAGAAACATAGGTCAGCACCCTTTTTCAAATACTCTGAAAAGCTTTGTAGATTTTCGT